GCAAATTCAGTTCAGACTTTTCCTGTCATCATAGAAGAAACCCCTTCTCAGAGCAATTAAATAACCAAATGCCTATTGGAATAAACCAGGCTGCTCAAGGTGATAGAACAGCTGTAGCAGAGAGAACTGGAAATTAAGGAGAAACAATAAAGTGAATTATTTGGCAAACTTCTATTAATGAACAAAGACCAAAATTAAAAATACGAATAAATGACGTTTCTTGGAAAGTTTAGTAGACACAGGTGTGGATATGACAATAACTGCATCAGAATTTTAGCATTCAAATTGGCTTCTTCAGGAGCTGTTAGGGATTAGAACATTATCTCAAGTGAAACAGAGTGCAAGATGGCTCAAATGTATAGGACCAGAAGGACAGAGAGGAAAATTAAAGCCATATGTGGCTAATATAGCTATGAACTTATGGGGCTATGATCTATTACAACAATGGAATACCCAGATTAACATTCCCCCAACCTGAGAAACAAATCATAAACTAACACATGTTTTTGGGAGAAATATCAGAAGGTATTATTATAAAGAGCGTTCACCAGCCATCCAGATTGTACAAGAACAGGGCACAACAACTGCTGATCTTTCAAAGACATCAACAGTTCTACCTTTAAAATGGTTAACAGACAAGCCTGTATGGGTTCAGCAATGGCCTTTATCAACAGAGAAACTGCAGGCTTTAGAAGAGCTTGTATAAGAACAGTTAAATTCTCAGTATATTGAAGAATCAACCAGCCCTTGGAATTCTCCTGTATTTGTTATTAAAAAGAAATCTGGAAGCCGGGCGGTGGTGGCGCACGCCTTTAATCCCAGCACTCGGGAGGCAGAGCCAGGCGGATCTCTGTGAGTTCGAGGCCAGCCTGGACTACCAAGTGAGTTCCAGGAAAAGGCGCAAAGCTACACAGAGAAACCCTGTCTCGAAAAAACCAAAAAAAAAAAAAAAAAAAAAGAAATCTGGTAAATGGAGAATGGTAACAGACCTAAGAGCAATTAACAAAGTAATTCAGCCAATGGGCTCTTTACAATCTGGAATTCCTTTGCCTACTCTGTTACCTAAAGGATGGCCTCTAATAGTTATCAATTTAAAAGACCTTTTTTTTTCAATACCCTTACAAGAAAAAGACAGAGAAAAATTTGCCTTCACCATGCCTACTTATAATAATTCTCAGTGGGCTAAGAGATATTAATGGAGGGTTCTCCCACAGGGAATGTTGAATAGCCCAACCCTGTGCCAATATTTTGTACAACAACCTCTCAACATAGTTACTGACTCTCAGTATGCTGAAAGAGTGGTGTTACATATTGAGACTGCAGAATTTATCCCTGATGTGTCAGAATTAACTTCACTATTTATTCAGTTACAAGATATAATCAGGAATAGGAAGCATCCCTTATATATAACTCACATTCCATCCCATATGGGTCTGCCAGGCTCTCTAGAACAAGGTAATGATGAGATTAATAAATATTTGATAGGAAATGTGCTGGAGGCCTAAGAATTTCATTAAAAAAACATCATGTCAATAGTAATAGTTTAAAAAAGGATTTTTCTATAACCTGGCAAGAAGCCAAGGAAATTGTAAGGAAATGTCCTACTTGTTCTTTTTACAATCAGACTCCACTACCAGCAGGATGTAACCCAAAGGGTACTCAGAGGAATAAAATCTGGCAGATGGATATGTTTCACTTGGCAGAATTTGGAAAATTGAAATATGTATACCACACAATTGATACTTACTCAGGATTTTAATGGGCAATGGCTTTGGGTTCTGAAAAAAACTGATTCTATAATCACACATTTGCTAGAAGTTATGGCCATCATGGGTATACCTGTACAAATTAAAACTGACAATGCTCCAGCATATGTGTCTGGTAAAATGAAACATTTTTTTTTGCTTATTACAATATAAAACATATTACAGGTATATCACATAATCCTACAGGCCAAGCAGTTATAGGAAGATCAAACAGAACTCTAAAGGATATGCTAAATAAACAGAAAGGGGTAACAAAAAACCACAGAAACAGATTACGTGATACTCTATTAACTCTGAATTTTCTCAATGCTAAAGGGAAAGGAATAACAGCTGCAGAGAGACACTGGATAACAGAAAAAAAACTACAGAATTAAATAAGCCTATATACTTTAAGGATGTGCTGACCTCAGAATGGAAACCAGGATATGTGTTACATTAGGGACAAGGTTTTGCTTTTGTTTCTACAGGAGAAGATAAGCTGTGGATACCATCAAAATTGATAAAGGTTTATTTGAACAAAAGAGACCTCTTAATTAGAAGAGGTGATAGTTCATCAACCAGCCTGACCATCTAATTTAAACTAACTTATACCACTAACAAATGCTTTTCTTTTTATTTCTTTTTTTTAATTCCTTTTGTTTGTTTGTTTGTTTTGTTTTTCAAGACAGGGTTTCTCTGCGTAGCTTTGTGCCTTTCCTGGAACTCATTCTGTAGCCTAGGCTGGCCTCGAACTCACAGAGATCCACTTGCCTCCCAAGTGCTGGGATTAAAGGCGTGTGCCACCACCGCCCAGCCAACAAATGCTTTTCATTTAATCAGATATAACTTGCCAAAAGGGAACCTCCCCAAAGTTAGGCTTCAGGAAGGGTTTTTTGGTTTTGTCTTTCAGGAGAATGAAGGCTAAGGAATCTGAAGAACACTGGAACATGAGACATCTGAAGAAAAAGGACAAATCATCTAGAAAAAAATGTCCCAAGCAAAGGAGTAAATTGGCCTATTGATATATCATCTATAAAATTTCATAAGTCTTCTTAAATGTTTGTTTCTGCTCTTCTCTACAGACACTAAACACAAATGGTCTTTTTGTAGTCCCAGTTCAATTAAAAATTAAAGCTTGCTTTGGAGTTGGAGAATGGCTCTCCCCTTCTCTAAACCCAAGCATTTTGTTAAAAGGAAAATGCAAAATCTCTGTATCATGTCAGAAGAAAGAGTCATCTTCTGATATGGGACAGAAGAAAACGAAAAAAATTGAAGGACTATTCTATTGCCACTAATCTCAATTCTTTGGTTCTATTTTGATTCTTTAAACTTTTCTTAAGGTATGAATTTTATATCAAAAGTTATAAGATTAACATATATATATTTTAAACTTTTGTTATTATATTAATAGTCATATAGAGTACTAACTAATTCTAGAAAAAAGGTTTCATTTAGCTGCCTATACATGTTTTTGTGTTGGAGTCTCTATCAGTTTTTTGCAGGGAATCATGACCAGGCCTAACAATGAATTTGAAGTCTCCAGAAAGATGATGGGGCCCCACAACAATGATTCCATGTGGACAATAATAATAATACACTGAGCTGACAAACATCACCCAAAGATCAGCTTTGGACTACAAACTGCTCAGAACAATTTTCTGGCTGTGGCTCTTTCTGGCACCATTGGAAGTATTATCATGTTACTCTTATTAAACATCATATTTTTAGTTTTGTAAAATTCCTACCTTTTGGCTATGACAGTTTCAAACTAAAGTCCTTATGATATAAGGATCCTAACTCCTATTACAAGGGAGCCAAAACCTCCTCTCTTTCACTTACATGCACATACACACATACACATAATTAAAAATAAAAATTAAAAAACTTATATTCATTACTAGAAAATAAAATAGTTCATTAAAATCCAAAGTCAGGTGGTAGTAGAGCATGTCTTTAATCCCATCCCTGGGGGGAGGGAGTACGTTCCTTCTTAGGCAGAGTCTACTCCCCTCATTACCATAGAATTTACAGAAGACTGATCATCTTTCAGCCCCTTAGAAAAATGTCTGGAACCACAGTTCTCCCAAAGATTCTGACAGGACACTACAGTACCCTTCCCAGATATTTTACCCATTTCCACAGCTGGGCACATTCTTTCTTAACAAATGATGTCTATTACCATCACTATTGGTAGGTCCCTGTTCTAATTTTTTATTCTGCGATACAAGAACCCAGAAATCTCATTGGGCCCTGTTGGGTTGCCCTATTGGCTGTGCCCTCTTCTAAGTTGCTACACATAGTTTAAAACAAGTGGTATTTGCCAGGCTGTGTCCTGCCCTGGGAGGCTCCATTTTACTTTGAGACAAGGTCTCACTGTGAACCTCTGACTGACCTAGAACTTCCTATGCAGACCAGGCTGGCCCCAAACTCAGACCTGCTTGCCTCTGGAAACTCTACCCTCCCAAACAGCTTCTGACCCCATTTTGGGGGAAGATAACTGCAGACTCTGGGTACACCGAGAAGTGTCACCATCTGTCAGGAACCATCTAGTACGGATTGATAAGTGACTTATTCCTGAGAACAGACAAGGGAGTCAATCTGTAAGCTTATCGGGATGAATCAAAACTATGGGGTATCAAAACACATGGGTGTATCAAAATCCTATCAGGAAAACCAGACCCAAGAACTTACCAGGCATGCCAGACCAAGGGACGGTCGGCCTCCCTCACCTGGGACCCACTATGAAATGGACACCTAACACTGCAGTGGAAGGCCCTATACCAGTCCATCGCCTAATAACTGTTGCGTGCCTCAAGAACCAACAAGCAGAGGACGCCCTTATTGTGCAGCTTTATCGGGTTACCTGCCATTACCATTATTTTATACTGGAACTATTGTTGAAAGAGGAAAGCAAATTTGACAGAACCTGTAATCCCCAAACTCGGGAAGCTGAGGTAGCAAAGGCCGGCGTGGGCTATATACAGCGAGGCTGAACTACAAGTGTGGGGCCCTGATTGAAAAACGGAAAAAAAAAAAAAAATGGGGGGCGTGGAGGGAAGAAAATAAGTTGGAAGAAAATGAGAGGGGGGGGGAATGAGAAAGAGCTAGGAGATAGGGAAGGGGAGAAAGAGGAGAGAGCTGTGACCGGCGTGACTTGGTAGCACATTAGCCACGTGCCTACAGCGTGCGGAAGAGCCCCGGCTGCCTCCGGGCCACCGTGCTCTTCCGGTCCCAGCAGCCCTCGCGACGGAAGTCGTCACGGGGCGAGCCCCGGCAGCGTCCGCGGTAACTTGCCATGGCGATGGGCAGCGGCGGTGCAGGCTCGGAGCAGGAGGACGCGGGGCTGTTCCCACGTGGCACCGGCCAGGTGAGGCGGCGGGTGGCGCGGCCCGGCGACGGCACCCACCGAGCTCGGAGCGGCGGCCGAGGCCGAGCCCGTGAGCGCTCGAGCCCCATGCTGCCACCCCATCCGCCCGAGTGGCTGGGAGCCGCGCTTTGGTCCTGGGTGACTGTGAGGGATCCACATGCTGCCACCCCATCCGCCCGAGTGGCTGGGAGCCGGGCTTTGGTCCTGGGTGACTGTGAGGGATCCACATGCTGCCACCCCATCCACCCGAGTGGCTGGGAGCCGGGCTTTGGTCCTGGGTGACTGTGAGGGATCCACATGCTGCCACCCGATCCGCCCGAGTGGCTGGGAGCCGGGCTTTGGTTCTGGGTGACTGTGAGGGATCCACATGCTGCCACCCCATCCGCCCGAGTGGCTGGGAGCCGCGCTTTGGTCCTGGGTGACTGTGAGGGATCCACATGCTGCCACCCCATCCGCCCGAGTGGCTGGGAGCCGCGCTTTGGTCCTGGGTGACTGTGAGGGATCCACATGCTGCCACCCGATCCGCCCGAGTGGCTGGGAGCCGCACTTTGGTCCTGGGTGACTGTGAGGGATGCGCGGGCACAGGGACAGGCCGGCAGAAGCAATGAAACCAGTTAGGAGGCATTGCAATGCTCCAAATGTAGGTCAAGACCCAGACGTTAGCAGTGAGACTAAAATACTGCGTTCTAGATAGAGCTTTGTAAATAGAAGGACCAAGTTTCCCAGATAATAGTTGTTAAGAAAATTTGAGAGAGAAGGGTAACTGATAGCTGAAAAGTTGCTACTTACTGCAATGCCCTGAGGTGAGGAAGACAAGGAAGACTTGTGGTGTATCAAGTGTGTACGACGGAAGGTCAGAGCCAGGCTTCATGGTGCTTGCTTACAGTCACAAGCACTTGGGAGATGGAGGCAGGAGGCTCAGGAATTCAAGATCGCAGAGTGCACTCGAGGCCTAAACGACAGTGAGACTCCGTAAGAGTAAAATAAACACTTTTATTTTTATTTATTTATTTATTTTTTTATTTTCGAAACAGGGTTTTTCTCTGTGAAACAGTCCTGCCTGCCCTGGAACTCACTCTGTAGACCAGGCTGGCCTTGAACTCACTGAGATCCCCTGCCTCTGCCTCCCGAGTGCTAGAATCAAAGGCGTGCGCCACCACCGCCCGGCTAAATAAAGACTTTTAAATATAAAGGAAAATGAGAGCCTGGCTGGTGGACCGTGCTTGTGACAATCCCAGCTATTTGAGAGGCTGAGGCAGGATTGTGAGGTTGAAGCTAACCTGGGAAACAGAACACACTCCATCTACAAAGTTTAAAACATTAGGAGGTCCCTCTTAGTATGCTAAGTGTGCTTTCTGCCTGGAGTGTCAGGTGGGAGAAGAGATTCAAGGCAACATTTGGCAATGCTGCTTTCCCATCTTTGGGGACAGCCCAGCCGTTCCTTTGCCTTTTAGCTTCAGCGTAGCCCTGTGGTCTGGTTCTCTCCTTAAGCCACACAGTTTCCTGTGCTTATTTGTCATCTGGATATCTTCTTCAAGCCCAGTGTGGTGGTGCATACTTGTACTCCCAGGGGTAATCTTATTTATTGAAGATTCTATTTTGTTGTTGTCTCTGTTTTCAGACACATCTCACTATGTAGCCCTGGCAGGCCTGGAACTCTCCATGTAGACCAGGCTGGCGTCAAAGAGATTGACCTACCTCAGCCAACCATGTGCTGGAGTTAAAGGGGTGTACCACCACACCTGGTTTAAAGTTTGCTTCACTCTTTCGTTTTGTTTTGTTTTTGAATTCTGTAGCCATATTGGCCTGGAATTCAATATGTAGACTGACTGACCTGGAACGCTTGGTGACCCTATTGTATCTGCCTCCCAAGTGTTGGGATTATAGATTACAAATATGAGCTATTATAATTTGCAGGTCATGGTTTTGGGTTGTTTTTTTGTTTGTTTGTTTTTGTTTTTTTTGTTTTTTGAGACAGGGTCTTGTGTTGTAGTCTAGGCTGCCTTGGAATCTACTGTGTAGTCCAGGCTAGTCTTCAGCTTGCCTTGGCAATCCTCCTGCCTCAACCTTTTCAGTGTTCAGATTATAAGTATGTATTACTACAACAAGTAGTGCTAGGGATTGAACTATTGAACTGGGGGCCGTGAACAAAATCCCCCATCTCCTAGTACTTTCTGTTATATGTTTTTAATTAAAGCTATCTGCCCATAAACTATTTGTATTCTTTTTTCACTTCAGAGTGATGATTCTGACATTTGGGATGATACGGCATTGATAAAAGCTTATGGTAAAGCTGTGGCTTCCTTTAAGGTATGAAATGTTTAACCACTCTTTTCTGTTTCCTCATGTCATACATTTTTTTTGTGGGGGGGGACCCTGAGTAAATTGAGGCTTTCTTAGGTGATGGGACCTTGAGATCGTCTTATAGTGGTAACGGTCATGTTAGGAATGGTGACATTTTAACAACATATTCCTCCACAGCACGTGCATTTATTTCTATTACTGTTTTCATAGCATGCTCTGAAGAATGTTGACGTTTGTGAGGAGAGAGGAGAGAGGAAGTTTGTGAAACTTCAGATAAGCCAAAAGGCACAGCTAGAAGAAAACCTGCTAAGAAGAATAAAAACCAAAAGAAGACTGCCACGCCTCCCTTGAAACAGGTTATTTATTTATTGAACAGGGTCTTGCCCAGCCTGAGGGAGAGGGTTGCTGATGCTATTTAGAGTGAATGAGGCTGTAAACTGAGTCAGCAGTGTTGTTTTCTTAAGCTGATAGAGATGGAGAGATGATATACACACATACAATCATGTATATTTTTTCCTTCTGTGGTGCTGGGTATTAAACCCAGAGCTCCTTGCATTCTGAGTGTGTGTTGGTAGCTGATCAGTAACTCTACCCACCCCCTCTTCTTTCCACACAATTCAACAATCCAGAAACTATTATGGAAAAACAAGAGTTTTGGTAACTAGGTCTGCTAATTTAAAAGCAGAGGTCTGGGGTCGGAGTATAGTTCAGTAGTAGTACACACCCAGCCTAGTACACACCCAGCCCTGGGTGTCCCAGCATCAAACTCATACTGAACTAAAACAAAGCCCTGTAGACGAGCTGAAATTTTTGTTTGTTTGTTTTGGTTTTGGGTTTTTTTTTAAGTAAATGTTTTGATGCCTCATTAGCCAGTTCATTTTTACCCAAAGGGGAAGGGTATTGACATTTGAGGAGCACTTGCTTTTTTCTGGCCAGTGTTGGATGTGTCATACACTTTCAGTCTGTTTTTTCTTCATGACACATTTAGGCAGTAGAGTACATTGCAGCCGTTCATCATTACAGCCGTTCGTCTGTCTGGGAAAAGGGGATGCAGGGCACTAAGAGTAGTGTCGGTAATTAAGTAGATGGAGGGTTGGAATTGCAGTTGGAGAGCTGGATGATGGTTTGTTCTCTTCCAAAGAAGTAACGTGTGCATGTCTGTGTCTTTCATGTCTTTCGTAGTGGAAAGTTGGTGACAGATGTTCTGCCACTTGGTCAGAAGACGGCTGTGTTTACCCAGCTACCATTGCTTCCATTGATTTCAAGAGAGAAACCTGTGTTGTGCTTTACACTGGATATGGAAACAGAGAGGAGCAAAATCTGTCTGATCTCCTTTCCCTAACCTGTGAAGTAGCTAATCATGCAGAACAGAGCACTCAGGAGGTAAGGTGGTGAATATGTCTGTTCCTGAAGGCGGGGACTAAATACGGAAAAAGCATTATAAACAGTTGTCACTTGACCCACCGAGGCGTTATATAACATTCTCATTCTCCCTATTCTCTTCTCATTGTCTTTTTGGCAGGGCCATACAAATGCTGGGCAAGTGCTCTGCCTCTGCATAGCAAAAATGTTTATTTTTCTTTATAAAGAATGAAAGAAAGTCAAGCTTCAACAAACGACAGTGAAAACTCCTCCAGATCCCTCGGAAGTAAACCACACAGCAAGTCCAAAGCTGCTGCATGAAACTCGTTTCTCCCTCTACCACCCCCAATGCCAGGGTCAGGATTGGGACCAGGAAAGGTAAGCGTTCTGTTCAGAAAATTAGTTATGAAGGAAGTAATTCCCACTGGGACCCTTGCTCTTTCATTAAGTAATTTATAGCTTTCCCATGAAACTGCTTTTCCCAGGCCAGAATCCATAAAAAGGAAATGCAAGGGTGAAGTAAAGAGTTGGGGGTAAATAGCTCTCCAGATTGCCATGGGGTAGTAGACTAATAACTAGTACACTTTCCTTTTTAAAAATCTTTTTATCACATTTATGGGGGGGGGGTGTATTTGCGCACATGCTACTGTGGAAGTCGGAAGTCAACTTGCAGGTATAGACTCTCATCTTCCACCATGTTGTTCCTGGGATAGAACTGGGCTGTTTGGATGTCAATTCAGACACACATATAGATAAATGTAGATGGCATTTAAGTGAGAAAGGAGGGCATTGGGGCTAGTCTGACCAGGAAACAATAAATGTTTGAGGACTTAGTTTTTTCTTAAACTCTAGCACTTTCTATTTAGTGAGTTCTGGAATTTAATGAGTTCTTCAGTTTGTTCCTTTGTTTATGGGGGGCTGGGTTACAGACTGTGGGACCTTGCACCTGGGAGGCGAGTGCTGTCCCCTGAGCTACACCCTCCGCTTTAGTGAGTGAGTGAGTGAGGTCACGTCATTGGTCAGGAGTATCACTGACAGTGAAGGGAGAAAAGGTGAGCTCCAACTTAGTATTTTACTTTGTGATTGTCACTTTTTGTTTCTGTTGTTTGGGGTTCGTTTGTTTGTTTGTTTGTTTGTTTTGCAGGGGGTGCAGGGTCCCACTCTGTAGCCCAGGTTTCTCTGAACCACTGTAGCCTAGGCTGCCCTCCAAACTGTAGCAGTCGTCCTGCCTTAGCTTCCCAGTTGCTGGGGTTACAGGTGTGTGCCACCATGCCCAGCTTGGCTCAGTTGCCCTTAAAGCATATCGGAATGCTATAGACTACTTTTTAAAATACACATTTATTTTCTGATGGCATTTTATTAAGTAAAATTAGTACGATATCTCACATGAAACAGACTATTTATTTGGTTGTTCTTGTAGTGCTGGGGAGCAGACCCAGAGCCTTGCACGTTAGGCAAATGCTGCAGCACCCAGCTGTGTCCCCAGTCTCGTGGTTTTTGTGGCAGGGTCTTACTGTGTAGTTTAGCCTTGCACTGGCCCAGCTGCCTTGAAGTCAAGATCCTCTTGCCTGTCTCCTGAACACTGGGCTTGTCAGCTGTGCATCGCTAAGCTGGGCTCAAGGGCTTTTTGTTTTGTTTTTTAAGCAGACCAGATTAGCTTTGAACTCACAGAGATCCCCCTGCCTCTGTCTTCTGAGTGCTGGGATTAAAGGCATGGGTTACCACCCCCAGCAGGAGGCAGGGTTTACTGCAGCCCATGCTGGCTTTAGACTCCTGTGAAACTGAAGATGGCCTTGGACTGCTGATCCTCCTTTCTTGTACCCACCCCCATTCCCCACCCCACCCCATGCTTGCTATCATGCTTGGTTTGAACTGTTTATTCACATTTATCTAGTGTGTGTCCCATTCTTTTAACTTTTCATTTGCTCTTTACAGGGTTTCAGACAAAATAAAAAAGAAGGAAAGCGCTCACATACAAATTAAACAGTAAGTCTGTTATTGTAAGAACTAATCTTACCTTTGCATAACTTTCATAGCTTGTGGAAATGAGTGTTTTGAATATTTAAAAATTGAAATGTCAAAAAGTTTATGTAAAACTTCAGTAAAGACATTTTATTTATTTATTTATTTGGTTTTTTGAGACAGGGTTTCTCTGTGTAGCTTTTTTTTTTTTTTTTTTTTTTTTTTTTTGGTGCCTCTCCTGGATCTCACTCTGTAGACCAGGCTGGCCACAGAGATCCACCTGGTTCTGCCTCCGAGTGCTGGGGTTAAAGGCATGTGCCACCACCACCCCACTGACATTTTATTTTTCAAGTGTGTGTGTGTGTGTGTGTGTGTGTGTCTATGTGTAGCCAGAGGAGAGTGTTAGATCCCCTGGAGCTTGAGTTACATGTAGTTGTCAGCTCCTTGACATGGTGCTGGGAACTGACCTTGGGTCATGTAGAAGAGTAGCAAGTGTTCTTAACTGCTGAGCTCTCTCCCCAGCCTCACTAAAGACTGCTGAAAATTAGATTAAATATTGAACTATCCCCACTTAATCAAATTTTCATGATGTCAAAGTGTCATCTCCCAAATATCTGGTGGTTGGTTTGGTTATGTGGGCAAAACATGCTTTATGAGAAAAGATTCTGAGGCTGGCCTTCAGCTCTATGTTGTCTTGCCTCAGTCTCAGAGTGCGAGGATTATAGATACGCAGTATCACACCTGGTTTAGAATCTGGTTTAGGGTGTGAGGATAATTGCAGTGTCATTGGCCACTGGCCAGTCAGGCTTGCTGCTTTTGTGGGGAGTTGGGGCAGTAGGGATTGAACCTAGGGCCTCACACATGTAGGGAGCAAACACTCTGCCACTGAGCCCTATCACCAGCCCCACATGCACTTTTTAAATTAAACTTTTTTGTGTGTCTGGAGGTTTTGCCTACATGTGTGTTTATGTACTGTGTGCATGCCTGATGTCCTCAAGGCTAGAAGAGGGTATTGGATCCCATGAAACTGGAGTTATATATAGGTGGTTATAAGTTGCCTGGGTCTTCTAACAAGAGCAGTAAGTACTAGTAACCACTAAGCCGTCTCTCCAGGACACCCCGCTCCCACTTTGATAAATGATGCAGTGTACAATACACTGCATTATCTATTGTCTTAGTCCCTTGCTGTGGGATGTTCTGTATGGCAAATGTGTTGCTGATTAGTCAATAAATAAAACACTGATTGGCCATTGGCTAGGTTGGAAGTGTAGGCGGGACAAGGAGGAGAATAAAGCTGGGAAGTGGAAGGCTGAGGCAGAGAGACACTGCCAGCTGCCACGATGACAAAAAGCATGTGAAGATGCCGGTAAGCCACGAGCCATGTGACAAGGTATAGATTAATGGAAATGGATTAATTTAAGCTGTAAGAACAGTTAGCAAGAAGCCTGCCACGGCCATACAGTTTGTAAGCAATATAAGTCTTATGTGTTTACTTGGTCGAGTCTGAGTGGCTGTGGGACTGGCAGGTGAGAGAGATTTGTCCTGACTGTGGGCCAGGCAGGAAAACTAGCAACAGTCCCTGTTCTGTGGCTGTGAAGGGACACCATGACCAAGGCAACTCTTACAAAGAAAGCATTTAACTGGGGGCTTGCTCACTGTTTTAGAGGATTAGTCTGTGATCATCATGGCAGGAAGGAGACAGGCATGGCTCTGGAATGGTGGCTATTTATGTAGAGTTCTTATTGTAACTTTCTAGAGGCCCTAATATTTTTAGTTCATTTTTTACTCGAGACACTTAAAATTGTAATTCTGAGTGACTAATTTTTAGTTTTACTGTATTGAAAAAATGCTCATTTGATTGTAGCAGTTACTACTTTTTAATGAAAAGTTTAACACATAATTTGATAATTTGTAGTATGTTTTAAATTCTAATAGAAAAGATCAATACTAGTATTCCTTAATTTTTAAAGTTACTATTATTTTTATATTAGCATATTTTTATTCTTTGCATTCAGTATAAAAATAAGATTTAGGGGCTGACAAGATGCTTCAGAGGGGGGCTGGAGAGATGGCTCAGAGGTTAAGAGCCCTGGCTGTTCTTCCAGAGGTCCTGAGTTCAATTCCCAGCAACCACATGGTGGCTCTCAACCATCTGTAATGTGATCTGGCACCCTCTTCTGGCCTGCAGATAGAACACTGTGTATGTAATAAAGAAATAAATCTTAAAAAGAAAAAAAGATGCCCCAAAGATGGCAAAGGGGATGACCTGAGTTCAGTCCCCAGGGTGGAAGGAGAGAGCCGACTCCTACTAGTTGTCTCTGACACACACACACACACACACACACACACACGAGAAAATTCTTCTTTTTTTAAATATTGTGTGACTGCCTAGACTTTTTTCTTTCAAATTCAGGTTCAGCTCTCTGCCAAGGAGGTGGTATGTTGGTGTCCCTGGTCAATATGAACAGATGTCTCATCGTCATCTTGTGGACTCTTGGCTGAGTGGTGTCATCACCAGTGTTTTCCCGTTCTGGGTCTGGGCCTAGCTCACCAGTGGGGTGTGTTTAGAGCACGATCACTTTGAGGAACAGAATGGTGGAACTGTGAGCACGTGGAAGTCAGTCTGCCAAAGCTGTGACTGAGCACACCTGTACAATTGTAACTTCCTTAGTGTGTCGAGATTTTTACTCATGCCTTTACAAACAAATAAAGTCCTTTTTTGAAATATTTTCCTTTGGGATATATACAGTGAAGTTGAGTCTGTTTAAAGATACAGGAAGAAAACTACTCAGACTTATTACCTGGGTAAAGGGTGATTTCTGAAGGTGGGACAAATTGATAATTTAGGATTGGGAAACAAAAGCTAGTTCGTATCACAGGGTCTACACTGGCTAGCCAGGAATCAAGGTGAGTTCTGGGTTATGTGTGTGTGTGTGTGTGTGTGTTTCCCATGGCTCAAATCTGGAGGTCGGAGAATGGCTGTGTGTGTGTGTGTGTGTGTGTGTGTGTGTGTGTGTGTGTGTGTGTGTGTGTTTCCCATGGCTCAAATCTGGAGGTTGGAGAACGGCTTGTGAAGTCTTGGCTCTTCTTCCTACTGTGTAGGTTCTAGGTATTGAATCCAGGTTGTTGGTTGGCAGGTGCCTTTACCTGCTGAGCCGTCTCACCAGCCCTGTTCTTCACTTTTTTGAAAGAGTTTTGTGCAGTCTGAGTTTCCTGCAATTTACAGCCCTCTTGACTCTGCCCCCAAATGCTGACGTCACAGGCAGTACCACCACACTGTAGCTGAAGTTTTCCTGTGTCCACCTGGCTCTTGCAGCCACTCAGATCCAAGTAAACACACAGAGACTTATATTACTTATAAACTGTATGGCTGTGGCAGGCTTCTTGCTATCTAGTTCTTATATCTTAAATTAACCCATTTCTATTAATCTGTAAGTTACCATGTGGCTTGTGGCTTACCTGTACTTTTACATCTTGCTTCTCATGGCGGCGGCAGCTGGCTGCATCTCGTGATTCAGCCTTCCCTTCCCAGAATTCTCCTCTCTCTTTATCCTGCCTATACTATACTTCCTGCCTGGCTACTGGCCAATCAGTGTTTTATTTATCAATCAGAGCAACACATTCACAGTGTACAGAAAGACATCCCCAGCACCACACCTGTGTTGTCTTTTAGAAGCTGTATTGTTCTCTTTGCACCCTCCCTTGTCTGTCTTTCTAGTCTCCCTCTCTCCCCCTGATGTTCCTTACCTCCTCACCTCACCTCCTTACCTCCTGCCTGACCCAATTGCCCCTTGTTGCTCAAATCTTAAAAGGTCTTATAATATAAAACTCAGAACCAGATATTGGGGTAATGCTGAAAGATCAGAGAGACAAAGGAACAAGCCACTGCCACGTCTTACCTCTTGAACTCTTCAGCCTGAAAAACCTCTAGTTCCTGTCTCCTCATGCCTTATATACCTTTCTCTGCCTAGCCATCACTTCCTTCTTAGTGCCTGGATTAAAGGCTGTGACTCCCAAGTATTGGGATTAAAGGTGTGTGCCACCACTGCCTGGCTCTGTTTCTCCTAGACTGAGTCAATCTCATGTAGTCCAGGGTGGCTTTGAACTCACAGAGATCCAGATGGATCTCTGCCTTCTGAGTGCTAAGGTGTGTGCCACTTCTGCCTGGCCTCTATGTTTAATCTAGTGGCTTGTTCTGTTCTCTGATTTTCAGGCAAATCTTATTAGGGTACACAATATATCACCACAGCCCTTACCGTTCTCTCCCATCGTGGCCTTGCAGTTCCGTGTGTACCTTCATTAGAGTCTTGTGGTGAGGGTTGGTGTCAAGCACTCAGGCTTCTCCCTGGTTCATTCACCTCTGGAGGAAAAGGTTAAGAGATCAGCTCTGTTGAGCTGGAGATGGAGCCCATGGTAGAGCTTGCCTTACATGTCCAAGGCCCTGGGTTTTATCTCCACTACCATAAAAACAATATGGTAAATGCCATTCCTTTCCTAAGTTTTGAGTAGGTAAACTAAATTAACTAAGCTCCCTATGCGCCTAGCATATTAGCTGTCAAGTAAGTATTATTAAATTAATGAATAGTCAATATCTAGTAAGTAGCTTTGCAAAATATGACTTGAGCTTTTAGAGGGAATATTACCTTTCATGACAGTTGGCTATTATAGATTTGGCACAGCTTAATTGGTTAATTTGCAAGTTAAATTTAATTACTAATATATCCAGTTAACTTCCAACCAGATATTAGACATTAACATTAATTTTAATTCCCTTTAGTACCCAATACATTTACTTGGACTGACATTATTCATTCTGGCAAATACTCAACTTTTTTTAAGTGCTGGGAGTTGCTCTTGGTGAAACTAGGATGCCTTGTATGTTGGCATATGATACAGCACCAGTTACTTGAAAAGCTGAGGTGGTAGGATTCATCATTTAAGACCAGCCTGGCCAACAAGAGACCACATCTAATGCAGTAACAACAAAGGGAAGGCTGAACTAAAGACAATAGGCAGTGGAGATGGCTCAGTGGGAGAAGGGCAGCGCAGAGGGACAGCAAGAGCATCACTGGTTTGTCGGCCATCAGCCTGGCCTCAAAGCCCCAAGTTCCAGGTTCTCAAGGGAATAGTGCAGGCGGTGACAAAGACACCCGTGGTGACCTTTGGCACGTAGACATGGGCATCCATACCCACGCATACACATGCACTCTGTCATCTCAGACACAATGGAAAATAGCCTACAGGGGGTGGTTAGAAAGCTTATATTGGCTCACAGTTCTGGAGGATCAGGGCTGGTGATTTTGTCTAGTGTGCTGAGCTTGAATCAGTCATAATAGTGCAAGAGGCAATGAGCATGATTTGTGTGCTTTGTGTATGTGTTCATACCTGGCCTCTCAGGAAGCCACTAGGATTCAGTGGGAGCTTCATCTTGATGACCTTATCCTAAATACCTTCCAAAGGCCCCAGCTGTAAGCACAGTAGATTAAGTTCCCATTCCTAGTAGCTCACAGTAGGGATGGCATTTCCAAACCATGGCATGAGGGAACATCCTAGGAAAAGCAACAGCAACGCCTTTGCCTAAGAATGTGTGTGGAATAGTCAAGGACAGGCAAGGAGGCCAGTGGCCAGAGTGAGAGGAAGCATAAGGAGATGGGGATGAGCAGGGGCCAAGGGTCAGGCCGTACATAGGCCACTGTGAGGTTGAGAGCATTTCCCTATAGCTGGGAGGCCAGTGGGGAATAGTGAGGCAGAGGTAGAGCATGACCTGACCTCCATCAGTAGGAGCCTCTGACCACTCAGCTGGATGAGGTGTTCCAGGAAGTGCACTCACACACAGTCAGGAGAACTCAGATGCCCCCCAGTGGTAAAAGAGGAACAGCAGAGGACTGAGCTGTAGCTGTCTGAGGAGGAAACCAGGAGTGAAGCTCTAAGGTCAGATGAAGCAGGTGTTTCCTAGAGACCAGTGATTCGCCCATCAGTAGTAGCTCACATGCTGGTAGCAGGACAAGTAAGATGAAGGCCACAACACAGTCACTGAACGTACTAACGTGGAGGTCGCTGGGGATGCCAAAACAGCTGTTTCAGTGAGATGGAAGAGATAAAAGCTTGGGGGAGAGGATGTAAGCATGAAAGAACACTCACCCGTGCTTGTAAAGAACTCTTCCAATGAAAGTTGTTTTCTAGCTTAGTAAAATCATATTTAATATCTATTTTTATGAGTTTACAGTTATTGTTACTTATTTCAGTTGTGCTCTATGTGTACTATTCTTTGATATAAAATTGACTTCCTGGTTTTGTTTTGCTTTTTTTTTTTTTAAACTTAAAAATGAAGCAGATGTTCAGAAAAGCAGCCCATTTGAAGGAGTCAGAGTTGGGATATGGAGTATGTGACCAGAAATAGACATTTCAGTAGTTTTGTTTTTCCTTTTTAAGTGCTGAGGAATAAATCAGAACCATTGAACTCTTATTAGAAATGTTTCTTTTTTTCTTTTCTTATTTATTGTTTTATGGGCATGGGTGTTTTGTCTGCATATATATGTGTGTATCATGTGTTTGACTGGTATCCAAGAGGCCAGAAAAGGATGTTGGATTTCCTGGAACTGGAGTTACAGATGACTGTAAACTCCCATGGGACTGATGGGAATTGAACCTGGGTCCTCTGCAAGAACCATGACTGCTTTTAACCACTGAGCCAGGTCTTCTGGAAGAGCAGCCAGTGCTCTTAACTGCTGAGCCATCTCTCCAGGCCTTACTTAATTTTATACTGATTTTCTTATGTATTTTCAGCAGTGCTGGAGATTGTGCTTAGGATCTCAGGAACACTGTGTAGGCACACACTTTTGAACTACACCTCAACCTTGAATTTTTATATTAAATATTAAAATAACAGGCAATTTATAAAACAAAATAGGACAAAAGGGAGGAAATAATTAAGACCACCTACCTCAGTACTCAGAGATAACCAATGCAAATTATTTTTTATTTTTAACTTTAGGAATCTTTTTCCAAGATTTATTGTAGGATAACTGAAAAAAGGCATATATATTTAAAGTACATAGGTGTTTCTTATATGCATTATGTGTTGGGACATGGTCCAAGAATAGAGTCGTGTGAGGAGAATTCTGAGTGCTTGTGATTTCTTCAAAACACAGAATTGTTCTTGGAATGTGTCTTTGTGTTCCTCCTAGGTATAGCAGATAGGACTGAGTTTACTTCAGATTACTCATTATTGCTTACTGTTGTTATTCAATTAAATGCTTAAATTATCCTTTATTTGCCTCTTTAGAGAGGTTCTCAGCCTTCCTAATGTTTCAGTCCTTTAATACAGCTCCTCATGTTGTGACCCCCCAATCATAAAATTGTTTTTGTTGCTACTTCATAACTGTAGTTTTGCTACTGTTATGAATCGTAATGTAAATATCTGTGTTTTCCGATGGTCCCAGGTGACCGCTGTGAAGGGGTCATTTGACCCCCAAATGGTCTTGACCAACAAATTGAGAACTGCTCTTCTGTAGAAAAACATGTTTTTTTTTGCCACACGCAGCTTGTTTTTGTGATTGTCTACGGCTTGAACACAAGAGAACTTTACTTAGGTGACCTCCCTTAACCCCCAGAGTATAAATTATCTGATGCTCTGAATAAAGCTGGCTATTGCATGAGATTGTAGTCCACTTCATTTATTGACTCCATTCTCCCAGGTCCCACCACCTCTCGAGCAGTGACCAGTATGAAATGGCAATTATCACAATCAAGTTAATATACCCAGGAATCCTTGCAAGATCAAATCACATAAAACGGACTGGATTCCCAACAAAATGATAAAGCTGTCATAATATATGTAACTCTCAAAAGCCTCTGGAACAAAAGTAGATTTCTCTAAGCCCACTTTCTTCCTCACATCGACAATGGATGGGAGATGGTGTGAGCAAGCATGGCCACACCAAGGCTGGTGACTCTACAGAAGCCCTGCAAAGACTAAAGAGCATCTCTGCAAAGAGTCCTCTGCATCCTGTGCTAAAGTCAGCTTGTGCTTCATCATGGGTGGGACTGACTCATCCTTAAACTGGCCATTTCTTACCTCCATCAAATGTGCCTTCCTTGTGACTTTTACACAGATCAATGTTCCTTTTCGCCCCTTCCTATTGACTTTGGCAATGGAGGATTCTGGGAGATGCCTGGAAATGTTGAGCACTTGCAAGTTTGGCAGGTTGTCCAGGGCTTGAAAGAAATGTACCCTTCCTCTATAATCTTGTGATTCTTTGAAATATCTAAGTTTTCAAGTTTCTGGAAACCTCCGCTGGTTGCTCCCTTGGCTGGAAAGAGAACAAACCAAAATATTTATGAAGACAAAATGCCAAGGACTTGAGTAAAGCTTACAAGGTTATCATAAGTAACCTCATAACCACCAATGAAAGCGGAGATTGCTCAGCATTTTTCCAAAACCAGGTCCTACTTACATAGCCCTAGCTGGCCTGGAACTTATTTATGTAGATAAGGCTGGCCTAGAACTCACTTATGTAGATGAGGCTGACCTAGAATTCACTTATGTAGATGAGACTGGCCTAGAACTCACTTATGTAGATGAGGCTGGCCTAGAATTCACTTATATAGATGAGGCTGGCCTAGAATTCACTTATGTAGATAAGACTGGCCTAGAACTCACTTATGTAGATGAGGCTGGCCTAGAATTCACTTATGTAGATGAGGCTGGCCTAGGACTCACATCTTCCTACCTCTGCCTTCTGACATTTGGGTTAAAGGCAAGCGCTTCAACGCTTGGCTTTAAACATTTTTTTAGAGATCATTCCTTGAAAACCCTCAAGAGCTGCTTGGTTGGTAGGGAACCACCTGGCCAAATTGCTAGCAGTTTGGAGGAAGCAGAAGCCAGGAAGTCCAGCACAGAATTTTGGCTCTCTGGGCAATGTGGACTTCTCTTCTGGTCTCACAGGAGGACATGCCAAGGCAGGGCACAGCTGTGGAACAGGTCACATTATAGGGGACTGAGAAATGGTGGCAACAGCGTCTCCCTTTTTGCAGAGAACGGAAGGTGGCAGTCCTAAAGCATGTCCTCTCACTGTGACTGCTCTCCAGTTTGCCCAGATGACTTCCTAGTTACTTAGAGCTCTGGAGGAAGTGCAGGCTAGGGTAAGGTCTCAACCGGAGTCCATGACTGGACGTGGGCACCTAGCACTGGTTTGGCTTTGGTGTGAATTCTCAGAACTGTGTCCTATTCTGTTCATTCACTTTTTTAAGACAGACTCTTACTATGTAGCTCTGGCTGGCATGGAACTCACTGTGCGGACCAGTCTGTCCTTGCACTTACACAGAGATCTGCCTGCCTCTGCCTCCTGAGTGCTGAGATTACAGGTATGTGCCACCACACCTGGAATTAGCACTTTAAATAGCATTATAAAGTAACAGTGCTGAGCAGTCACAAGATGAAATCCAACGTCTCTCACACACCCATGAAGCCCACCACAGCAGGACCTTTCCTTTCCTCTCCTGTCCCTTTAGAACTCCTGCCTCTCACTCCAGGCACTTAGATGCTGATTTTTAAAAGTTCTTCAAATGGACCTGGTTCTAGGACACAGGTGGTTTTACTATTCAGAATGTCAATGTCTCCTCTCCCTGCTCGGCTCCACCATCGTATAGAAGGTCTTAGTGGTAACCTCACCTCCACAACCCTTCCCTGGCCCCAAATCAGGTTGAGTTCTGCTGCATGCGAAAGGAAACGTCGAGGGAGAATTTGGCAGAATGCATTGCCTAAGAATGCCCTAAAGCTGATGAAAAGCTGTCAAGCCTCAGACCCCAGGTAGAATAGTTACCCAGTCATGCTGAACTCAGTTTTAGTTGGCTTGGTGGCCATAACTAGTCCCCTATTTCCTAATGCAATCACTTTGGGGTTAGGACTTCAACATATGGACTTTGGGAAGACAAAATGAAGTGTATGTCCACTGCCACAAAGCAAAGCTTCTAGCTCCAGCTGCTCCAGATGCCAAAGCAGGAGGATTAGGAGTTCTAGGCCAGCCTGGGCTATATAGTGAGACTCTGTTAGAAAAAAAAGAAAGAAAGTAAATTTTTTTTTTTTTTTTTAAGATTTATTTATTTGTTATGTATACAGCATGTATGATTGCAGGCCAGAAGAGGGCACCAGATCTCACTACAGATGGTTGTGAGCCACCATGTGGTTGCTGGGAATTGAACTCAGGACCTCTGGAAGAGCAGTCAGTGCTCTTAACCTCTGAGCCATCTCTCCAGCCCAGAAAGTAAATCTTAAAAGCTACTGAGTTGGGGAAAAAGACACCTCACCCTTAAGGACATCATATGAAAACTCTGAGAATGGACACTAAACAAAAGAAATGATACAGGCCAGAAACCTAAGTAAAGTAACTCTAAAAAGAATGCACTGGGAAAGTATTTCAAAGATGAAGGCAAAAGCCATTTTCATATCATTAAAATAGGAGAGAAGTCATGACTAGCTGACCCAGAGTAGAAGAAATGCTAACAGCCCTTCAGCAGAAGGAAAAGGACCCTGCTGAATGGAAACATGGGAGGCTCAGGAGCAACAGCCAGCGGCTGGGAATCAATACAGCAGGCACAGAGACAGGAACACCAGCACTTGGGACACAGAGGTGGAAGGTTACTGCAAGTTTGTTACCAGTCTGGGCAACATAGGAGACCCTGTCTCAAAAACACCAACATTAAAAAATAAAATAAGCAAATCTAGTTTGCGAATACTAAGCCCAGAACTGTTTAAAATACTAATTGAAGAGTCAAAATGCTTTAGAATCCAAAATCAATGACATGCAAGAGGTAGGAGAAGAATGTAGGGTGTAATTTAAGTATTTTTACTGTGTGTGTGTGTGTGTGTGTGTGTGTGTGTGTGTGTGTGTGTGTGTGTGTGCTCACAGGCACAGCATGGATATGAAGGAAAGAGACAGTCAATTCTTCTTTCATGTGGGATCAAACTTCAGTCTTCAGGCTTGGCAGTAAGCCCTTTACCTGCTAAGCCGAGTTGACAACCCAGATAAATAGAACTTAAATATTCCAGGAACACCTACATGACTCATAAAGTGGTAAAAGTGTGCATTCATATATTAATTTATATTATCCAAATTGCAAATTTTATTATCCAAGATAACACTGAAAGAGGAAAAATGTAGAGCTGGAGCTATGCATGACCACAATAAGCCTTGAAATCTGAAATAGAAGGATGGCCATGGATCCAAAGCCAACTTGAATTACATCGTGAGTTTGAAACCAGCCTGGGCTATAGAGTAGACTCTACCTAACCACCCCCTGAAGAAAAAGAGAATGTGTAATTAAGAAGCTAATAAATGTAGGAAGCAAAAAAGAAGAGAGAAAAAACCCACATATCCTATGGAAGAAATAAAGAAACCAATACCAAATAACAATACACAGAGGGCTCACACACCCCTGTCATCTCCGCTCTGGGGAGGTTGATGCAAGAGTTCAGGGCCATTGAGGGCCACATAGCAAGGTAAAGTCCAGGCTGAACTATTAATCAACAGTCACTGTCTCAAAAAACAAGTAAAAATTCAACTGTAGTTACAAATATGTTCAATGTAAATAAAAGGTGAATGGATTGGCCAGCCTGGGCTACAGAGTAAGTTCCAGGACAGGCGCAAAGCTACACAGAGAAACCCTGTCTCGAAAAAAACCAAAAAAAAAAAAAAAAAAAAAAAAAAAAAAAAGATGAATGGATTGTATTTTTGTTTTAAAATTTCTGTATGTGTGTGATCCACCTGTATGTGTGGGTGTGTGTGGAGCCCAGAAGTGAGTGATGGATGTCCTCTCAGTTGCACCTTACTTTTTAAGACCAGTCTTACACTGAACCTGGAGCTCAAGGATTCCAGTGGATTGCCTGGCTACTAAGTGCTATGGATTCTCCTGTCCTCAGCTCCTTAGCGCCCCCTCCTGGGAGCTTGCTGCATCTCACACTAAGCACTTCCCGCATGAACTGGAGATACTTTACAGACTTAGCCCTCTCTGCAACCTCAGATTTGTACCATTTATTATTTGGGTGATAGTGGGGTTTTTGATTGTTTTGAGGCAGGATCTCCTGTAGCACATACTGGCCCCTGGCTCACTATGTGGGCAGGGAGTGTGGTGACCTGGATGATGATGGTCCTCTTGCCTCTACCTCTTGAGTGTTGGCATTACAGATGTGTACCACTATAACTGCTACGCCTGTTTGTGTGCTATGCTAGGGATCAAGCCTAAGGCTTCGTGCACGCTAGGCAAGTGCTTCACCAACAGAACTCCTTCCTAGATTCAACTATGTAACTGTAGAAGAGACTCACGTTAAAATTAGGGACATAGATTTAAAAGCAGGAAAAAGACATGGAAAGAATGCTGGATGCCTATATTATTAATATACAAGCAGCGAGAGTAAGGCAGGAAGTGGCGTCACAGGTGAGGAACCCTGGTCGACCAGAAAGATCTCACAGCTCCGAATGTGCTGTGTACCTAGCTTCAAGATATAAAGGCAAACTTGAGCCATAAGGAAGGTAGACAAGGGGCAGAGATCAATTAATTCATTATTTACTTAGGGATGGGACCTAGACTTCTGGCATTGGAGATGGTCTGTGTTCTAACCCTGGTTTAAATGTACTCAGATAACAAAATTCCCAAGACC